GGGGCCGGCAGGCACCCCCTGCTCCCAAGCCACCAGGAAGTTTCACAGCTTTGTCTACAAGCCTTGAGACAACGCAAGATAAAGTCTCTCACAAAGCATCAATAAGATCACCAGAGAAAGAGCCAAAAAACAAAGTCAGGACTAAGTTTACCATAAAGTAATGCAATGTCAGCTTCTAATTGTGAAGATTTCATGAGGAGTATCGATAATGTTCAGTTACAACAATTTTGCATATTGGATATCCCAGACAATAATAACTAAAAAAATGAAGAGTGTGTGTATTATTCTGGATGGTATTGAGATGGCTATTTTTGTCCTTCTGTCTTGTGTTAACCTCGAATGTGTTTCTTCAGACTGTCAGTCACGTAGCACCCATGTGTGTTAAGTAATAGTTTTAAGCTGATACTGACATTTAACTTCCTTTTCTTGGCTTATAAAGTGCCATTATACCTGGATTATAGTTATACTCCTTGGACTTCAAAATAATGAAAAAACAAGAATGAGAATATTAGCTAGGATTATATGTTAACTTTTATCTAAGTAAAAAGGGTTTTTCCTCTTATGGATATTACGTTTCCTCTAAATGCGATAAGTGACCATAAACAGAAAAAAAAAAAAAAACTTTAAAAAATTACCTTCTAGGGCCGATATATAATAACTATATAATAACTGTCTAATTTGCAATCCTTTTCTTATTTCTAATTAGAAATACTAGTTAAGCTGCCAAAATCCAAGAAAAATGCTCTGCTTTGCTCTGTTCTGCTCTAAAAAGCATAGCCAACAGACTAAATATAGTAATGTATGATATTGCCTGTGTTTTCCTTCCATATTGCCTTTGCAGCCTCTTGGCACTTGTAGCTCAGCCCAATATTAATGTTTATATTTTTTGCCACAAGAATAATCTGTCCTATTGTGATCTTTCATTTAATAAAACAGATATTTGTTCTCATATTGAGGAGATTAATTATTATATGCATTTTAGAAAACCCTGTGGAATATTTTTATTCTCTATCAATATATATTAGTTCAAGTATTAGTTGATATATTAATAGATAGTAGATGTTACATTTCTATTTATACCAAATTCTTCTAATCCCATTAACGTAAAGGCGTAAAATAAGATTCCTATCACACAGACACTAATATCACTAAGGTACTTTAAAAATTGTGCTACAAAGCCTAACTAGGCAAATGTTGCATGTAAACATTTAGGAGGTTAGAAAGAAGCTGAAGAGAGATGAAGGGCACCTCTAAAAACCACGGGTAATAAATAATCAGATCCTATCAGCTTCTCTACCCTTAGCAAATATGACCATCATGTAAAGGAGAATTCAACAAGCTGTTTTCTATCCAGATGTTATTTTTATGAGACTTCAGTATCAGAAAGACTACTACAGTTCTGTCATGCCGAGGTAACCACATTGAGCGTCAGGTGTGGGGGACCTGGCAGAAGAGTGTAGATATAGGGAGATGAATTAATTTGGCATGTAATAAACACATTCCTATCTAGGACAGTCCTAAAATAAATTAATTTTTTCTGGTGTGATATACAGAATTTGCTAGTAGAAGAGTCGGATAAGCAGGGCCCTACTGCAAACATGCTTCTCATCCCATAAATTGACCTATGTCCACCAAATTTGGGGACAGTTTCAGACCTTGTTCTACATCAGGTGTATTGCCTGCAAGGGTGGTAGATATAAGGCAAGACTACTTCTATTTTAATGTAATTTATTCACAAACTTCCATGGAAGTAGCAGTGATGAGATCATTAAAAGCGGTTTCATGATTTGCATTATTAAATTCTGGAATTTATGCTGACTCTTCAATTTGGAAATTATTAATCTTCTGCAGTATCCTGAGGCAATAGTAAAATGTGTAATGTTGGAGGTGAACATCCCTCTCTTAATAGATAAAAGAATCATCCTTTTTTTTTTTCTTTCCATTATGTAATGAAAAATAAAGAACATGGAAAAATGGAAAAGGTGGTGTGATGTAAATCCTCATCCTAAACTAGTTTTTGAAGGTCTGAAAATGACGGATGTGATTGTTTCATTTTATTTAATTCAGGATGTTTACCATTTTGTGAACTTTATCTCAGTCTGAGAGCTGAGAAGCAAGGAGCACAATAAAGAAATGCTGTTCATGTTTCCTATCCTTTGTCTGATGTGGCTGAGAGCAGGAAGCACTGGACATCTCATCCCACTGTTTCATGTCACACACTTCTTTTTCAAATGCTTTTGCCCCAGAAACTGTGAAGGACTATCCAAAATGACCTGTGCATAGATGGCATCTTGGTTTCCACCTCCTGCACCAAGAGGCCCATGGCAGGCAACTGCTCAGCGGGAATAACTGAAAATAGTGTTAGAACAATACTTTTAACTCTTCCTCATATCCACATAGTTTGAAATGTGCCTGGACATACTGTGTATGTACGATCAAGCTTTCTCAATTCTGGCTTGGGGAGTTTGAGTGAAAAACAGGCTCTGATAAAATACTGCTTACTTTAGTGTTTCTTCTTGAAACAGATCAACACTCAGACTTCCAGTCTGCTAGGACACAACAAATATTGGCTTTCATATTGGTGGAAGTCTCATTAACACAGTCCATTTTGGTACAGGTTTCTCACTTCCATTCCTGTAGGTCTGACACCAAGAACAATAAATCAGAAGGATTTGGGTTTTTCCCCTCCAGTGAAGGTTTAAATTCTAGAAAGAGATTAGAACCAGCTCAAACAACAATACCCAGGCCTTGTCTTTCTGGTAGTTGATGTATTGTGTGCTTCCCAGTAAGTTAGTGTAGTGTTAAAAGGAGGTACTAATAGGGATTTTTTTGTGTTCTTTGTGTTACCCTCATCACCCTAAAATAATTAAAATTGAGTGTGGTTCTCTATGAAAGAAACACAATACTTCAACTGCTCTTGGTTCATTAGGAAGGTGATACTTTGTGCTGGTTTATTGTACAAATAATGCTAAGGCATCTGAAAATTCAGAGCCAGTGTAGCAAGATATATTTTCTTGATATTTACTAAGAGGATGGCTTTGTGGAGAAAATAATATTTACTGTCTCTCTTCTTTAAACAGATAACACAGCAAGTGTTCTTGTTAGGCGTGAAGGATTTAGTCGCCAAAAGCAAGATTTATACCTTCTTCCTATTGTAATAAGTGATGGTGGACTCCCCGCTATGAGCAGCACCAACACCCTCACCATTCGGGTCTGCGGCTGTGACAGCCATGGCTCCTTGCTCTCCTGTAATGCCGAAGCCTACATCCTTAATGCTGGATTAAGCACTGGAGCTTTAGTTGCCATTCTTACTTGCATTGTAATTTTGTTAGGTAAGAGTTCTTTACTTATTACTCTTCTATACTTTCTTCTGTTAAAAAATTAACTTTGCCTTCAGCTCCAAAATAGATAAATTAATCTTAATTTCTTAGCTTTTATTTTTATAGGAAGTACTAATCTGCCTGGCTGAAATGCAATATATGATAACTGCAATAGCAAACATCAATGTATTTGTCTAGGTCTGCTCAGAAAATGTCCTTTTGTAGCCTAATATCAGTTAATCAAGGACACTGTTTAAAGGAGGTCATGACACACAGTTTTCAATTTTGTGATCTTCCCTGGATGACAAGTTCCTTATCAAGGTCAGTCAGGATTAATGGCTCCTGCCAGCTATTTCCCTCCACCTCCTTTTGTGTTGAAGACAAATGAATGGCTCAGAAGACGTGCTTTTAAGAAAATGTTGTAAAGCATTTTCCTGATTGTTTGAAAATATTTATATAAAATGTTTTATTTTGCCCATAGTAATTTATAGTCTTTCCTCTCTTATAAATTTTAAAATTATTTTATAGAAATTTGGAGCGGGAAGGAACACAATAACAAAGGCATGTGTTTTGAAGTGTTGCTTAAGGAAAATTCAGTTTTCATGGAAATGAAGCATAGAATTATGCCCAATTAGCTTCGGGCATAGAGGAGACAGTAAAGATTCATCTTTGTTTTGTTGCAGATACACATGTGATTGGGCGGCTCAAAGCAGTGACATAGTGTCCATGCAGAACTGGGGGGACACAAATGCTATTCTTGAATTAGTGTTGCACTAATGACCAATTAGTAAGAGCAATGGCATTCAGCCCAAACAGAAAACCTCAAATCAGTATGTTCAATTCTGTTTGCAACCATCAATGCTTTTACCTAGCTAGGTATGCTAAAAATGCAGATGTTAGCAAAAATACATGACGACCACAGCACAAAAGCTGAGGTTTCAGTGAATGCAATAACCTATTTATAAGAGAGATACTGTTTGAGAGTACAGTCTAACTTATTTTTGTTTTCTACAGTCATTGTAGTGTTGTTTGTAACACTGAAAAGGCAGAAAAAAGAACCTCTGATTGTTTTTGAAGAAGAAGATGTCCGAGAGAACATTATTACTTATGATGATGAAGGTGGAGGAGAGGAAGATACTGAAGCTTTTGACATAGCTACTTTGCAGAACCCTGATGGTATCAATGGATTTATTCCTCGTAAAGATATAAAACCTGAATATCAGTATATGCCAAGACCAGGGCTTCGGCCGGCTCCTAATAGCGTTGATGTTGATGATTTCATCAACACAAGAATACAAGAGGCTGATAACGACCCAACTGCTCCTCCTTATGACTCTATTCAGATCTATGGCTATGAAGGAAGAGGCTCAGTGGCTGGTTCACTTAGCTCATTAGAGTCAGCAACAACAGATTCTGATTTGGACTATGACTATCTACAAAACTGGGGACCTCGATTTAAGAAACTTGCAGACTTATATGGCTCCAAAGACACTTTTGATGATGATTCTTAACAATAAAGTTTAAGATTTGGCCTTAAGGACTGTGTCCAATGTTCTGAAGAATCCAGAAGAAATGTAAGCAGGTATTTTTTTAAAAATCAAGAAAAATCTCATTTAAACATTTACTTTTGACAGAGAGGATTCTGTTGATTAAAAAGGACATAAAAGTGGTAAATACTGTGAAGTACATTTTCCTACAAAAGGCAAATACAGAAGTTGGCTGCCAACTTAACTAAAGGAAAAAACCCACTTAAGAAATATGATATATTTAGATGAAGGAAAATGCTAAAAGCAAAGCTACAAATAAGGGAAATCTTATGTGTATTATGAACATCTAAATCTTTTATGTCAAGAAGCTTCCACACATTAGAAAACAGTTCTGAGCTGTAATTTCGCCTTAAACTATGGACACTCTATATGGTAGTGCATTTTTAAACTTGAAATATATAATATTCAGCCAGCTTAAACCCATATGATGTATGTACAGTACAATGTACAATTATTATGTCTCTTAAGCATCAAACTCGTTACTGCTGATTCTTGTAAATCTTTTTGCTTATACTTTCATCTTTAACTAATACGTGCCAGATATAAAATCTCTGTCTTGTTGCAGTGGAAGGCGCCCTATTTCTATGTCATTTTTAATGTATCTATTTGTACAATTTTAAAATTCTTATTTTAGTATACATACAAATATCAGTATTCTGACATGTAAGAAATGTTACAGCATCACACTTATATTTTATGAACATTGTACTGTTGCTTTAATATGTGCTTCAATATAAGAAGCAGACTTTGAAATAAACTGATTCTTTTTTAATTCTTGTTCTGGTTATTAAGCATATAAGGAAAAACATAGTGTTTCTAATGTCCCATTTATAGTTCTGACTAATTTACTACAATTGTGACCTTTTAGTAGCCTTATTTATTAGGTGTTTGTAGTTGGTTTGTTGCCTTGTTAAGTGATTATTTAAAAATCAAATACATTTTTAAAATGTTTTTTAGATTTAAAAAAATGTAGATTTTAGATTTAAAAAAATGTAATGTCTGTTGAACATATCCTCTCTAGCTACAGCTTGTGGCTGCTCCCAGAACACAGTAATAATCTTCATATAGTACTACTGTGCTTTCTGGATTAAATTAGGTGTAATACTTATTAATATTTCCCATGTAATATGCATTTATCTTATATCTTATAAATTTCAGAGGTTTCAGAAATGACTTTGTAAGTAGACAGGAGTAGTCTGTCCTTACAGTTTACTCTAAAGGTGTGGATTTCCGTATCTGTTCTAAGCTTCTGAGGATTCTAGAGTCTTATATCTGATGCAGTTTAGCTATAAATTCCCTAAAGACTGTTTTACCTGACAATCACCTTACTTGAGTAGTAATTAAGATTCCAGTACTTATTTCCTCACCCTTTTTTTATTTCCTCCCACCACCCTTTTTGGTTTTTTTTTTTCTTTTTTTTTTTTGCTTACTGTGGTAGAACAGCATTGTCTACTGATAAGAAGACATTTTAATTTGTGATGACAGAAATCAGTGTGCTTTCAGAGTCTTCTTTGTAATGGTATGTTTTTAATCGAAAAATGATCTATAACTTTTTTTATATTAGTTCAGAATGAGCAAGGGATTGGAATATCTTCTGTGCATCAACATTTTCAGCATCTGTGTATAGCTGTACTTCTGCTAAATTTAATATAGTTTGCTGTTTAGAGTCAGAGATCAGCAGCTACAGTATGGGATGAGGCAATAAAGGGAAATTATAAATTTTTCTATTGTTCTTTTTACAGACCCTGTCCTTCATTTGCAGTCAGGTACCAAACTGCTTGATCTGAGAGGAAATATGATTTGTTGGTGTATTGCTTTTATGAAGACCCCTATATATGTAATTAGATTAAAATTTAAATAGTTAAAATTATGAATGATATTTCAGCTCTATATTCATAACATATTCATTTTTACCATTATATCCCTATGTTTTATAAGGCAGTTTGCTAAATCAGCAGATTTGCTATACAATGTTTACTGTAATCCTTCACTTTATTACAGCTGTATGCATTCTATATATTCTATAGTTTATTATTAACTCGGTTCAAATTTCTTTGGTTGTTGATTTTTCTCTGTTTATAATCCAAAGAATACTTTGCTATATTTGCACATTTCTCCATTATAAATTTAAATGAACATTAAAAAAATTATATTAGTATCAATTTACAAAGTAACAAATTGAAAAAAAGTACAAAAAAGTCATTTGTAGGACTCATTGATGCTATCTGGGTTTATTTGACTTTGGAGCAAGTTTTAGAAATAATAACTGCATTTTCTACATTTTTATGTTTAATTTTTAAGAAGGACATTGTCAATTACATTTTTCAATATTTTTAAATGCTTTCAGTTTTAGTCTCTCTTGTTTGTAGTACTCTCGTAGATGCCTGGAAATAAATTTTCTTTCCCTGCTGGTTTTGTCCTTTTTTATTTGATTATTTTCCCCTTCCTAGCAAATATACAATTATCATAGTGCTTTATTAAGTTAGTCCTGCTAATCTCAGCCAACACTACCTCTGAAATAATGGGAATTACACTCATTACGTATCATCTGTAACAGCTCCAATGAACAGCATGTTTTGGCACCACAACAGGACATTTATTTGTGTGAAACTTCACAGCAGTGGTCACTGGAGTTCTGGATTTATAAAAACCAGTGTAAAACCCAGCCCAGCACTGCAGTACTGGGTTAACCCCTGACACAAATCAGAGTAGACCGTTGGCTGGGTTTATAGATTGTCACAGTGCTCCCAGACATCTGAGCAACCTGGGAAGAGATTTGCTTGCACGAGTTACTTTAGCTATTCTCTCTCCCTCTTCCCAACTGAGCTCAGGGAAGGACTGAGCCTCCCATCCATGGAAGGCATCTGAAAGATTAATTACAACTTCAGTGGGTTTGAAGACAAACCCTAATTAATAGGAAGATCACCACAACTGAACCAGGTAAGGTAAGAGGCAATAGTAAGTGTAGATGATGTTTTGGCCTCTTTTTGCCACTCTTGTAAGTTCTGCCTGAGACATCATTTGTGGGACACACACACACACCCCAAAACCCCTCTAAATACTCTCAGTAACAGAAAGAGTGACATTAGCCAAGAGTGATGTTGATTTTGTGAGCTGAGTATATATATACACAGCTCCTTGTCTAATTGCTTAGTACCAGAAAAACTTGCATCTGAGCAAGGTTGACATACCTCTCATCTCACATATATCCACAGTGCATTTGTACACACTTTCATCACCAGCAAGAAGAAATTAGGTATGCAAGTTAAGTGCTGGTTGCTAGGGGAACTCTCAAAACTTATACTGATCTGGAAGGGGAGGGTTTGTTTGGGATTTTTTAGATTGCCTCTGTCATGTACTTGCCATTATGTCAAGCAGTTTATAATACCATGTCAAGGAGTACCAGCTTGCAAGGTTGTCACCAATATTTACGTGATCTTGTGCAAAATCATGCCTCAGAAACTAATACGACCACAGATGAGAAGAGCTGTGAAATAATTTCCATATTTTCATGGCTTCATATTATTGACTGACTGACAAAATTATGTTGGTGCTGATAACCTTGCAGAAAAAGTGAAGAATAGGAGTTTAAATCAGGCTCATAAAGAGGCAACGTTAGCTTTCTGGGACACAAAAGCCTGGAATTCTTTTATGTCTTATATAGGTAGACCCTTTGCAGGTTTCCATTTTGGTGACTGATCGAAATACTGAGCTACTTTAAGCAAAACTGAGCAATCAGCAGGAGAATCACATTCTGTATTTAAAAAAGAAAAAGGGATGGCTTGTGAAAGACAGTGAGTGAGCTTGTCAGAATTAGTTAGATGAGGTCCCTGGAGCTTTGCTATTGTTTTTACTAAATTGGGATGAACCTGAGGATCAAATAGTTTGACCCAGTTCCATGCCCAGGCATGCTAGTGAACAAGTTTTCCATTATTTAATGTTACTAATCTCAGCATTTGATAAGGAAGGCTGTTTCACATCCTTGACTGACCAACCTGGGCTGGCTACAAATATCCGTCACAAGGAGAACTATTTTAACCAATTCTGGCTACTTCTCAATTGAGATTTATAGATTCATACTTATCTGAAAAAACATGCTTCGTGTAGCTCTGCACAAAGTCCTGGGCCTTGCCTGCTCACCACATTTAGGTCTGCATTGTTGCTCCCTTCCTTCAGAGGAACTGTTAACTGCTAACATTTTCCAAAATCAGGTCTTCTGCCTTCTCACATCAGAGTATTTGCAGAAGCTACAACCCCATGCACAGATAGCAGCTTTTCTATGTATAGCAGCTGTCAGGCAGAAAAGGAGCCAGCGTGTGCCCAGGTGGCCAAGAAGGCCAATGGCATCCTGGTCTGTATCAGGAACAGCGTGGACAGCAGGAGCAGGGCAGGGTCTACGATCCTGTACTCGACACTGGTGAGGCTGCACCTTGAGTACTGTCTTTTGGGCCCCTCACTCCAAGAAGGACATAAGAGATGCTGGAGCGTGTCCAGAGTAGGGCAACAAAGCTGGTGAAGGGTCTGGAGAACAAGTCTGATGAGGAGCAGCTGAGGGAGCTGGGGATGTTTGGCCTGAGGAACAGAAGGCTGAGGGGACACCTGATCACTCTCTACAGCTCCCTGAAAGGAGGCTGTAGGGCAGGTGCTGGACTGTTCTCCCAGGTAACTGGTGACAGGACAAGAGAAAACGGCCTCAAGTTGTGTCACGGGAAGATTAGATTAGATATTCGGAAAAACTTCACTGAAATTATGCTCAGGCACTGGAAGAGGCTGCCCAGGGAAGTGGTAGAGTCAACATCCCTGGAGGTGTTCAAGAAATGTGTAAACATGGTGCTTGAGGACATGATCTAGTGAGTGGGGTAGTGTTGGGTTGTTGCTTGGACTGGGTGATCTTCTAGGTCTTTTCCAACCTTAGTGATTCTGTGACGTGGTAACATAATGTGTGCATATGCAAAATGGACTTTGCTGATGTGCAAGAATTCCTGCCTCCTGGACAGAGGTGGTCGGTTGTAGACGCTATGGGCCAGTGTTTACCCATGCCAGGGTTTCTGTAGAGTTCATGGACCATTCAAGTTTCTCCATGGAAGGAAAAAAAACAGAGATGCTCAAGGGGC